GGCACCAGTAACAACAGTCTGTATGTACATCCATCTTGCCTTTACCTTGAGTGTTGACTGTAGGCCCGATCTCATAGTCAATCCTGGCTGCAACATTCTTCTCAAACCATGATGATGTATTTGTGCCTCTGCACTGTTACTTCGCTCCCAAAGAACCCTTACAACATCTAGCTTGTCTTGCATCAGTTCAATACCATGTGGGGCAGAATGAGCCAATCTATCTGCCTCTTTGTTTATCAAAACACCGGCAACACATGGAGAAAATGTAATTAATTGTTAGTGAACTAATGCGGGACTCATAGTTGTCAATTAGCCATACTAACAATTATTTCACAGTGAAGCATTATAAACAGCAATTTCTAGAGAAGTATGTTCTGCTCAATAAATTTTTGTCCATTTTGTAAATCTCTCTAGCGAAGTTGGTTAAACATGACTTTCGCGGCGGCCGGGTGACGAACTCCTTGTGGTCCAGGTTCACTCCCAGGGGTAGGCAGAAAAGCCACATTTCTCCCAGATTAACGGTACCTATAATGGAATAAATGCCGAAGGGTTGCAATATCCATAGTATTGAGCCAAAGGGTTTACAACTCATGGTTTCTGGATACGTAAAAAAAAAAAAAAATTGTTGACTAATATTTCATAGAGAAATTTCAAGACTTATAACTTCTAGAAATAGTAAATTAAGGAGCCGTTTTATGTCGTTGATGCTTTGGGCATATGCTTCTGTAACTATACTGTTCATAATCATTCAGTGGTGTGTTTTTATTAGTTGATGGGAAAGCCTGTACTCCTAAAAACTGTCAATGACCCAGATGGGGAAAACACTGTCACTTGATTAGTTAAACCCTGAGGTATTCTTGTGTGCAATTCGAACAGTTTCACTCATTAAATTACACAGATTTTGAATGTCAAAGTTATGACAAAATTATAATCCCTTCAGTATCCATGTGTTTTTATTTGTTTTTTTAAATAGTATATGTTTTTATAGGCCATTTTGCACTTCATGATGTGGTCTCATGTCCTGTCCCCCAACATTTCTTCATACCCAGTTTGTGCTCTATTGAGCGGGCAGCATTTGATAAATTATGAAAATATAGATGAAACCAAAGACAGCCAGATTTCTAGAATTACTACTTGTTAAAATATATTCCCTGGGTTTTATGGTAAATTAGTGAGCTATGTTTAGAATTTCATGAGAAATTCAGGCTGACATTAAAAAATCTGGCAACCACTGGACCTGAAGAGTGCCTGATTTGTGAGATTGTCAGATTTTTTAAATGGTTACATATGTTGTATATAAGTTAGCTGTGTATCTTTTACAGGACGTTGCATAACCAACCCAGCATTTTTGGCTATTTGTGATTTCACTAGGCAGTTTTATGTTCAGTAATTTGCCATTTATTGCTTTTTGATGGTCAACTCAACTATCAAAACAAAAACAAAAAACAACAACAACAACGCATGGCAGTCTGTTGCCAAATCACCCACAGCTGGAATCAGACCTGGCACCTCAGAATTATGAAGCGCATTCACAATGCCTATGCCACAAACGATGGTATTCTATATTTAAATAAACAGAAAATGACTACAGGTGCAGTCCTTTGAAGACAGGAAAATTAAACACTAAATGAAAAGCTAATGAAGTTTTTAATGTTTACCAACTGAAAAACACAGTTCTACAGCATCCTTGCTGGAAATGTGAAGGAACTTTATTATTGATGTCGGATTTTTTAATGTCACAGTGTATGTTAATCAGTGTTTAGATTTTTTATTGTATAATATTCATGAATAATCCAGGTCGAAATCGAGTGCTTCTAAGGTCACCATCCAGTAAACTGTACATATTATGTTTTTTTTAAGGAAAAAGCAATTACTTATATTTCATGCAGAGTTCAGTCAAGAATCGACATCATAGCATTCTGAATATTCCCATAAGCACACAATCTCCATCTTTAGCAGCCAGTAAATACCTCCAAAGCCAGTAGTACCAATATCAGTTTTATTATACGTCTATCTTGCTTTTCCCTCTCAGTGCAAAGTGTCGACCAGTTTCGCTGGTCACTGCCCACCTCAGGAGGCTCTCTAGATGGCAATGATCTGTTCGCACTTCCACATCATTTACTTGCTTCCTCAAGGCTAGGTTTTTTTTTAATAAACACATTACTCCCTGACCTTGACTTCCACATCATTTACTTGCTTCCTCAAGGCTAGGTGTTTTTTTTAATGAACACATTACTCCCTGACCTTGACTTTCACATCATTTACTTGCTTCCTCAAGGCTAGGTTTTTTTTTAATGAACACATTACTTCCTGACCTTGACTTCCACATCATTTACTTGCTTCCTCAAGGCTAGGTTTTTTTTAAATGAACTTATTACTTCCTGACCTTGACTTCCACATCATTTACTTGCTTCCTCAAGGCTAGGTTTTTTTTTAATGAACACATTACTTCCTGACCTTGACTTCCACATCATTTACTTGCTTCCTCAAGGCTAGGTTTTTTTTAAATGAACTTATTACTTCCTGACCTTGACTTCCACATCATTTACTTGCTTCCTCAAGGCTAGGTTTTTTTTTAATGAACACATTACTTCCTGACCTTGACTTCCACATCATTTACTTGCTTCCTCAAGGCTAGGTTTTTTTAATGAATACATTACTCCCTGACCTTGACTTCCACATCATTCACTTGCTTCCTCAAGGCTAGGTTTCTTTTAATGAACACATTACTTCCTGACCTTGACTTCCACATCATTCACTTGCTTCCTCAATGCTAGTTTTTTTTTAAAATAAACACATTACTCCCTGACCTTGACTTCCACATCATTCACTTGCTTCCTCAAGGCTAGGTTTTTTTTAATGAACACATTACTCCCTGACCTTGACTTCCACATCATTTACTTGCTTCCTCAAGGCTAGATTTTTTTTTAATGAACACATTACTCCCTGACTTTGACTTCCACATCATTTACTTGCTTCCTCAATGCTTTTTTTTTTTTTTTTAATGAACACATTACTCCCTGACCTTGACTTCCACATCATTTACTTGCTTCCTCAAGGCTAGGTTTCTTTTAATGAACACATTACTCCCTGACCTTGACTTCCACATCATTTACTTGCTTCCTCAAGGCTAGGTTTCTTTTAATGAACACATTACTTCCTGACCTTGACTTCCACATCATTTACTTGCTTCCTCAAGGCTAGGTTTTTTAAATAAACTCATTACTCTCTGACCTTGATTTCCACATCATTCACTTGCTTCCTCAAGGCTAGGTTTTTTTAATGAACACATTACTCCCTGACCTTGACTTCCACATCATTTACTTGCTTCCTCAAGGCCAGGTGTTTTTAATGAACACATTACTTCCTGACCTTGAATTCCACATCATTTACTTGCTTCCTCAATGCTAGGTTTCTTTTAATGAACACATTACTCCCTGACCTTGACTTCCACATCATTTACTTGCTTCCTCAATGCTAGGTTTCTTTTAATGAACACATTACTCCCTGACCTTGACTTCCACATCATTTACTTGCTTCCTCAAGGCTAGGTTTCTTTTAATGAACACATTACTCCCTGACCTTGACTTCCACATCATTTACTTGCTTCCTCAATGTTTTTTTTTTTTTAATGAACACATTACTCCCTGACCTTGACTTCCACATCATTTACTTGCTTCCTCAATGCTTTTTTTTTTTTTTTTTAATGAACACATTACTCCCTGACCTTGACTTCCACATCATTTACTTGCTTCCTCAATGCTAGGTTTCTTTTAATGAACACATTACTCCCTGACCTTGACTTCCACATCATTTACTTGCTTCCTCAAGGCTAGGTTTCTTTTAATGAACACATTACTTCCTGACCTTGACTTCCACATCATTTACTTGCTTCCTCAAGGCTAGGTTTTTTAAATAAACTCATTACTCTCTGACCTTGATTTCCACATCATTCACTTGCTTCCTCAAGGCAAGGTTTTTTTAAAAATATAAATGAACACATTACTCCCTGACCTTGATTCTTTGTTGACTTAGCCTAAAATGGGTGCCAGGTAGTAACTCCTAGGAAGTAAAGGTAGCCAGCCTGATATTGACCATACCACATACAAAGTACTTTCTGCTTCGACTTCTGCTTTTGTTCACTTGAAAAAAATGATCTATATCTGCTATGTTGTCTCTAGTAGAACTTCACTGTAAAGTGCCAACTGGTTTTTAAAAATATAAGTTTAGCATCAAACGCCTGGTGTTTCTGGCATTAAAGTGTTCCTTAACACACAAAGACAGTGACTGAACTTTATTACCATTGTAGTTACATAATATCTTCTTATATAATGTAAAATATCTGTCAGCTTGTTGGATTTTTTCCAAGGTGGAAGAAATCGTCATTATCATCATCATGTAGCAGATCCTTTGCAAAACATTACTTTTATTATGGTCTGCCTGACAGAAAATCAGTCTTTTGCCAGTTCTTCCACCTCTTGCACTCTCTGCAAGGAGAGGTAGAAGAAATACAACCTGAAAATTGTTAAAACTGAGCAGACCAGTCTCTCAACCTTGGTTGGCAGCCAGTTTAGCAGAGAAGCTCAAAAGTAGACAGATAGAGCACTGCTCTTCTGATCTGACAACATCTGCAGCATGTTTTGTTCCAAATGTATTGGTATTACCTTTCCTTTGCAGTAAACAAGGCAGGCAGAGACAAGGGATATTCTGCCTTTACAACAAATGGTCTCTACAATACTGCCCAGGCTTTTTTGCTATGTAGAGGAGTAATTTCATCATTAGCCTTATTTCAACATGAGCGGGGCTTGCTAGCCACACTCACCATCCACATGGTCTGTGATTTCCATGCCTTCCCATAGCACAGTATGGCAGTATCATCTAGAAAGTTGGAAAGGTGACAAAAGAATGTTGGATTTTTACAACTTAGATAACCCTGTTAATATTTATATACTAGTAAAAATCCAGTAACAGGTTGACTTGATTCTTCAAATGTTTCTCAGGCACAAAGAAAAAGAAAGATGACAGTGAGGAAGAGTCTGAGGATTCAGTATCATTGAATTCTTCTAAACGTATTGAAGCAAGTAAGAATTTACAGTTATTTGTTTCAGTGGAAATATTCAAATACAAAATCAAAGACCCCTTAGTCTGTACACTGCATGTCCAATGATCAAGGTGTGCACAAAAAATTATGTGCAGCCAACTGATATATTCAGTGGACTTCATATTGGTCCAGTAATAACCAAATATTACATAGCATTTTGTTGGGAAAAAATAAAGACAACTAACTTCACAGGGCCTAATCTCATATTAATTAATCCTCTGCTGAGTGTAGTGCACAGGGTAGGAACTCGATATCTGCGGTAATGTTTCCAAGGGATCTTCATAAAGATTGCGCTTGTGGACCAAACGAGTCTGTGACACCATAGAACTCCATAGCTGCAGTAAGGTTTCCCAGGGATCTTCATACAGATTGCACTTGCGAACCAAACGAGTGTGAAACCATAGAACTCCATAGCTGCAGTATTGTTTTACAGGGATCTTCATACAGATTGCACTTGCGAACCAAACGAGTGTGAAACCATAGAACTCCATAGCTGCAGTATTGTTTTACAGGGATCTTCATAAAGATTGCACTTGTGGACCAAACGAGTCTGTGCAACAATCTTCAGAGCACAATGGTGTGACCACTTTGCCACAGAAACCACCTGATGTGATTGATAATGCTGTATTAAACATAGGGGGATTGAATATTGAATTAGGAATTTAGATTACAGCACTCAGAACATTCCCATAAGTGCTTTGTTTCCATCTTCAGCAGCAAGCACAGAGTCCCATTTCTGATGACAGCAGTAACAGTGTGATTGTAAATCCGTCTTGCCTTCTCTTTAGTTTTGAGAGCTGGCGATATCTCCTGGTCGTTATTTGCAGCACCATTCTCCTCAGACCTAAAACTAGGAGGTAAAATAACTACTGCAGGCATTCCCACAATGGACATCAGAATCCTTCCTAACCTTAAGGTGGCGCCATATTACTTTTTATACGGTGGAGCAGTATTTCTGAGACTTGCTTCTTGCTGTTAGATTCACATAGGTAAAGTGACTCTTTAAATCCCCAAATATAAATATTGAGGTATGCATAGACAAAAAGAGAAGAAGGATGTAGAATACTAGGTAGACCAAGAACAAGATGGAAAGATAACATTAAAGAAACTCTACAACAGCACCATGTGTCTGTGGCCGAGGCAGACAGAAAATCAAGAAACAGAACCTTATATGTCCCTCGGCCCTCAGAGCAGTAAAAAAGGAAGCGAAGAAGAAGAATTCTGGAGGAGAAATCTTTTTAAAACGCTATTAATTCCCATTTTTTTCCCCATTTGTTTGCATAATGTGATGTTTTTATTTATTCCCCAGTGGGAGTAAGCGTTCTTCCACAAATTCCAATGTCAACTCTTTCCCCGATTACCAAAGAAAAACCAGTAAACATAATGCTAGATGAGAGTGTGAAATCTTCTCATTGGAACCACAGAAGGCAGAAGAAAAAGCAGCGCAGAGTCAATGATAAAAATTCCAGCGTCTCCCCTGGAGGGAATCAGTCTCGCAGTAATATGAAAGTGGCGAGGTCAACAGAGTGGCAGTATGCAGAAAATATGGTAATTACGGATGTCGCAGAGCTGGGTTACCTGGACGAGTTCATCTCACAGAAGGTGAGCTTGAATTTCATTTATTTGTGTGTTAGTTAGAAGGCTCTACTTTTATTAATTTTCATTAGATGTTCCTGTTTGATTCATCTACCAAATATTCTGTACTATAGATATGGTAACATATTCAATTGAATTTTCACTATGTCCACGTTTCAACTAATGGTTGGAAACCATTGCTGATCTCCGTCCTTTTCTGTTATATTTGTGGAGACAGTTCAGGTTGTCATTGTATCAGGTTTTCTTTTGTGTTGTGGAGTCGGTCAAAGTGCCACCTGAACAGACTAGTGTAGGGTCATAATCACACTGAGCCGGGAATGCAGAGACTGGCCAGCAGGTGCCACAGAGGTGGAAATTGAGCAATTAATTCAAGATAATGCTCGCTCAGAAGATTTGTTCATTTACACAGACGGTTTAGTGTCAAGAGGCAAAAGAAGTGTTGGGGTTTCTTAGCAAAAGTTAATGGTCGACATTTGGTGCAGGAGAGCCTAGCATATGATACCACAACATACAGCTTAAGAATGGAGGCGGAGGCGGTCACTGCAGCTTTCCGTTGGCTAGAGAACATGACACACACATTGTGATTGTAACTGACTCAGAAAGCATGCTGAGGAAGATCAGGACAGGCATGCTTCGTGCAGAGTGGCATGCCTCGCTGCGGAAGTCACAGGTGAGGAGTCTTGTCTGGATTTTTCCACCAGGCAATGCCACTGTGCTGGGAAATGAACAGGCGGACAGACTGGCTGGCTCTGCACAGCTTGGGTGAATACTAATGCATGATAAGGCAGACATGGTTGGTGCCTTGTGGGAGAGCGTGTACAGTTCAGAGGAGCAGATGGATCACCACAGTCTGGTGAGATTGATGCAGTTGGGGATAACGAGAGGTTCTGGCAGTTGCTCAAGGCTTAGAGGTAAGGCAAGACGGATGTTTAATCAGAATGCTACTGGCACCATTAGTATCGGAACTCTTCGCTGGCTGCTGAAGATGGGGACAGAGCGCTTATGAGAATGCCCCGAGTGCTGTGATGTCAGTTCTTTAATCAAATCAAATGAAATCAAATTGTGTTGATTTCTGTCACTCGCTGTTGGTTTGTGGTGTTTTCTTGTTTAGCTGTTCTGGTAGTCTCATGCCTTGCTGGTCTTGTGCTGCATTCCGGACAAGTGGGATGGCTGCTCTGTTGTTAGGGTGGTTCTGATTGGCCGGTCGGTGTGTCCAAGGAGGAGGTCTGCTTGCCCTAAAAAGGACTAGCAGTTTTTGCCTGAGCGGCTTTGTGGTGATTTTGGTGCTGCTTTGGTGGTCTTCTTCTTCCTTGGCTGTCTGGTGCTGCTGTTTGGGTTTAGGGCTGGTTGTGGTCACATCAATCATGGCTGAGTTAGTGTGTGCGGCGCCTGATGTGTTTTGCGTCAGGTCTCTGTGATGGGGTCTGATAAGTCCATGTGGCATCTGCTTGCTGTGTCAGGTCTAATTCGTCTGCTAACTGGAATGTTTTAGGGCAGTCTTCTTCTATTATGGCTGCTCCTGGCTGTGGGTCGAGTCTGGCATCCCTTGTTTTGTGAATGGCCTCAAGTCTGTTTGCTTCTTTTTGGTTGGCTTCTCTTGCGTTCATTACCTCAGTTGTCTCTCTACTGGTAGCTCTTAGCTTTGTACACTGCTGTCTCATCCTGGATTGCTTGTACTTCGTTTTTCATGAGAGTGATCTCGTTCTTAAGCTTGATGGTGACTGCAGCTGCTATGCCTTTGGGTGCCTCATGTCTCCTGCAGGCCTCTTGATAGGGAATGTTTTCCCGGACGACTGTGATGTCTCGGCACTGCTGGAGATAGAGGCACTCCAGGTACTGGGCACCATGCTGGCCAGAGCAGTTTGCACATTTCCAGTTCGTGTTTGGCAATCCAAAGTCTTGGTCCAATTTTGCTAGGGACAGTCACTGAAGGAGTGTGACTCCGAGCAGTACCTGCAGATTTCATGCTCCCTCACATAAGTGGCATGGGAGTGCTAAGATTTCTGACATCATGAGCACAGCAGCACCTCTTGTATGTACTGCTGGGGCCTCTGCATCCTCTGATTCAGATATACTGTGTCTGGGATGTACTCGCCCTCTGTGGTGACGACTGCAACTGGTGACGTGTCGTGCTCAGATCCGAGCCTTTTGTGAATCTCAGTTTTGGGTTTTCTTCCTTCAGCTGCTCTAGGATCTCATAGTCGTTCCATTGTAGGTTCACTCTCCTCACACCCTAGTGCCTGACTGTCTGGAGCATAGGGACAATCATCACCATTTCATTTGGTAGCTGTGGTATCTCCCTTCCGTTCTTCTTGATTTCTTTGATCAGTTTCAACATTCGGTTGGTCCTGTTCAGTGAGGCAATCACTCTGTCTCTGGTTTTCTTAATCTGTGCCATCACCCACTTTGCCGAGTAAGCTTTCAAGTGTATTCACCAGCAGCAGCATGGTCAGGGCAGTAACTGCTGCTTGACTTACGCTGATGTTCACTGGAGTGTGAAGGGGTATCGTGGGAACATTATTTATATATCTGTCTAAGTCTTACAGGACAAAGTTTAACCTCTGATTTGTTTACTTTTTGTGTGGGTTCCGGAGAAAACAAGAATTGACCCACTGCCTACCCAAAAGCATGTCATAGACTCGACTAACTGGGAGCTTCCTTCAAAGTCGAAGTGCATCTACCTGAGAGACAAGAAACCAACAGTCTGCACACAAATGAGTCAGATCTGTTTAACGTATACACACGCAACTCTTAGGTTCTAAAACAGGACTGCACTCCGGAATTGGATGAACAACAAGAACTTTACACCGTAGTTTACAGCTGGTGAACGCAAAGAAGAAGAAGAAGATTTGTTTACTAGTTGACTGAATTACTGTGTTGCGAAATTATGTTTGTTTAAAAAAAAAAAAGTGTCACCAGCACAAAAAGTTTGGCAAGCTCTGTTCTAGCAAATATAACATTAATTAAACAGTCAGTTATAATAAGGATTATTTTGTGCTAAACAGTATATTATTGTAATTTAGCAGACTATGCAGTCATGTGTATAATGTTAGTGAGCCATCTTTAATAGAAAGGATGTTATTCTTAAAATTATACTGATAGAAAATAGATTATTTTTACAATGTAGACTCACAGAAATTACAATGTTAATAATTAGTTTGTACTATGTAATATATTTCAGCAGAAATGTTATTATGCAAATAACTATACTGTCAGAAAATGAAATATTTCCTGAACAATATTGTGACAGATTTCAGGTTGTTCAGTGGAAGTTTAAATCTTAAAATACACTGTTTCAGAAAGTCACTTATTCAGATCTTAATCTGCCTAACCTCATCTTGACCACATTTTACAACATCACCCATCGAGTGCCAATTGGTCTACAAAAATATAGGTCAAACATTGTGTGACTAATGCACCAAGGGGCCTTTACTCACATACATTATTAGGTTTTTTCGTCGAAAAGCAGTAAGGACAGAAATCAATTTGCAGTACTTTATAAGAAATTGTACAGGTTTTTATATTATCTGATGTGCCAAACGAAAACTATAATTTATGCCTAATAAGATTTTTTTTTTTCATATATCTTGTCTGTTTTTTTATGATTTCAAAAATAGTTTTACTTGAATACCATCTGATATTTTCAGCAAATGGAACTATACAGGGATACAAACAGACATGACACTGTCTTTGACCGAATCTTTAAAGGTGCCTTAGAAAAATTCAGAAAAGACCTCAAGGCTTTGAAAGCTGTAGAAAGTAGTGTGAGTATTCTATGCTAATCAAGCATGTTAATTTTCAAAATTGTATCTCATTTGTTAAACTATTTGCCCCGGAAATCTTCAGAAAAGAAACCCCATTATCTGGGAATTCTTGGAAACAGGTATTTAAAAAAAAAAATGTTTTTAATAAATAAACAGACAGCTAAATAATAAATCGTCTTTTTTCCCATTTATTTATATACATTAAATTAAATTCCCAAAACAATACAAATGGTGACTCCTCCTGTGACCCCATTATTTAAAGTTAAAGAAGAATTATGATGTCATCTTGGCTGGGGGGGGGGGGGGGGGGGGGGGAGGTGGGGGGGGGGGGGGGGGGGGGGGGGGGGGGGGGGGGGGGGGGGGGGGGGGGGGAGGGTGGGGGGGGGGGTGGGGGTGGGGGGGGGGGGGGGGGGGGGGAGGGGGGGTGGGGGGGAGGGGGGGGGGGGGCGGGGGGGGGGGGGGGGGGAGACAAAAATAACCACCTAACTCTTTCAGCACCACGAATTTTGACAGACTTGGCTCACATTAATTTTCCTTTACAAAAAATGGCAGAGAATGTAATATATTTCTCATCCTTACAAATATATATATTTATTTTTTTTTTAAAGAGGAGTGAATGTAATTTTTGAATCTGATATATTTTTGTTTTATACTGTTGTAATTGGTAGGAAAAAATAATTCAGCACGTGTTAAGAGGAATAAATGTATATTTTTAAATCTGTTGAAATATTTTTGTTTAATACTGTTATAATTAGTATGAAAAAAGTGCATTATGTGTTATGTTTACAAAGACAAAATCTACTCAAAAAAATCGTTACTTACCATGGTTTTGCAGCCACAAGAGCGGTGAATATCCACATTTGAGACTACAGCTTTAAAGTTTCTTTAGTTGCCTAACAAATTTAAAAGTTATGAGACATTGGCTATCCTCCTACTAACGGTCGGCAAAGATGGCAGATGCAAAATATCCAGTCGAGCCACAGTCACGTGTCTATAGCGGACTAGCGGTCACGAGCACAACGCGGCAAAACTAGGATTAGTGTCTGTTGACAATTTTGAGAAACGGAACAAACCGCAGAGTTAAACTCGCCGCTGAGAGTCTCCCCCCATGCCGCTACGCACCGCGCAGATGGGGCTAAACTAGATGGCTGGGACCCACGAGCAGCAGCTTCCACATCTCCTGCAGCTTTGCTCGTGAGTCCTAGCCATCTAGTTTAGCCCCAATTCACGCCACATGAGCGACGTGGGGTTACTCTCGGCAGTGGCAGTAGTCGCCGGAAAACCGCAAATTAAGTTCGAAATTGACACATGAGTGAGACCCTGTTTTTGGTCGACATCTTTTGTGCCCGTTATTCGGAGGATAGCGGGTCTGTTGATGCTACTAAAAAGAAAGGTGCGTTACCAATGCGGTACAAGCCGCGCCTTGTTCCAATCGTACTTTCAGTGGCGTAACAGCCACGAACAGATTTTCGAGCACTTTTTAGAACGTCTGTGCCATAATTTCCAGATATAAAGGCATACAATTATCGGTAAGTAGTCGATTTGATATAACATTTTTGTCGCTCCTTTTTAGTTTTTATTCCTTATTAGTTTCCACTTCAATTTTTGACTGTTTACAACACGTGACACCTTACTGTGGCTCGACTGGATATTTTGCGGCCGTCATCTTTGCCGACCGTTAGTCGGAGGATTGCCGAGACATTTCTAGGTTTCTCACTCAGAAGCTCTAGGTTCTCATAGATGTTAAAAACATGTCAAACTAAACAGAATGGCAGAAAATTGGACCTGTAGTCCTATACCCACAAAATATTGACTTTATTGTTATATACAGATTGTAGCTGCAATAATGTCAATGCAGCTTAGTCATAGTATGAGTATATTACTGTCTGAGACAGTCATTTGGATGCAAATATGGGTGATTAACACATCCTTCGCAAAAGAAATGGGTCCTCCTGTTTTATTTAACTTATCAGAACGAACAGCTGACTGCTCAGCTGCCGCTGGTGTAAATCTGCCCAAAAATTTTAATTTGTCATTGTCACAATTAGAACACATCTGATTGAAACAATTTCAGAGCTTCAGCCACAGAAAGGCACATTTTTTGGCCTGTGCATGTGTTCGAAACCTGGCCAGTTTAACAGAAGAAAAAAAATGTGCTGTCTGAAAAATGACACAGTTGTGTAAATTAAATCTCCAGCTTTGCCAGATCTGTTTTTGCAGCCAGTACAGCTCAGGCATAACCCGGCCTCATAGAATGAGCACCATGTGATTTTAGAACTTTCTGGGAGTTCTCTGGAAAGGGTCAGTAACTGGGCATCATGTCTCATTACCTGGTCTTGAGTTGTAAACTTTGCCCTACCACTTACACTTTATGAAAAGAGAAACAGCTAGCTGAATTAATAAGAATGCTAGCTCTTATGAGGAAGAGCCATGCTCTAACCCTGATTAAAGTTGTGGATTTTATTCTGTCAGGGGCTATGGATTTAGTGATCTGGCTGCTCAGCACTCAAGGGAAAGGCGAGACCGATGTACAATCAGAGAGTTACTGGTACCATCGGAATTAGAACTCATTTGCTGCTCTAAGAAGGGGACAGAGCGCTTATGGGAGTGTCGTGAGTGCTATGATGTCGATTCTTAATTCAACATTCAAAATTCTGTCAAGCACAAGACCTTCACAGCCCATGGCAACAATACTAGCCATCTGGTCCTGAATAACCTCCTTGGCTACACAATGTGGTCCTATTTCATCAGGTTGAATAGCCTCCTTGCCTACACCATGTGGTCCTGAAATATCAGGCTGAATAACCTCCTTGCCTACGCCATGTGGTCCTGAATCATCAGGCTGAATCACCTCCTCACCTACACCACATCATCATTATGTAGCAGATCATTTGCAGAATGTCGCTCTCATCACGGTCTGCCTAAAAGAAACTCGGTCTCTCGCCAGCTCTCCCGCTTCATGTACTTTCATACTCAAGGAGTCACTTTTATCCTGTGCCCATCTTCGTGTTGGTCAGCCCCTGCCCCTTCTTCCTGGTACCTTGCCTTCTGATATAATTTTTGTTCAGTCCGTTGTGGCGCTTGATCTGACCAAAATATTTCAGCTTGTGAGACAGGATGCTGTTTATTAGCAATCTTCCTTGATGTTCAGATCTTTCAGGATGTCAGTATTTCTCCTCTTCTTTGCCCAGGGTATTCTGAGAATCTTTCTATAGCATTTCAGCTCACAAACCCCTATTCTCTTTCTTAAGGACTGGGAGATAGTCCACGACTCACATCCGTATGTTGCTACATACATGTAGGCACATGTATGTGCCTACACCACAAAAGTGCTAAATACAGGCAGTAATGACAGCTTTTTTGTCAGCGGATTAGTTTTTAAAAGAAATGTGATTGTCCATCTCAGGCTAGACAATAAAAATAATACTCATTTTGAATTTTGTTTTGTTTTATTAATAGAAAGACAAGCCTGCGGTCCGTTACAGAGATCTGTTTGAGAAATTCCGATACATTCTCGAAGCAGAGATGAAACAGGACAAGACAGATGCACCCATTGTCATGTCAGTTAATGCATTTCGTGGTTTCTTGGATGAGTTCAGAAAGCAAGAAGAGGCCAGATCACGTGAAAACAAGAAGGATGATCGACTGAAAGAAAAGAAGACATTAAAGCGGGAAAAAAATAAGAAAGCCCAGGAGACAATAGTGAGTTTCACTATATTACTCGACTTCATAATTATTTGAATCAGTTTTAACAGTTTTATTTTTGTCTAATTACGATTGAGGGAAATGTTTGTGTTTTGTAAGACAAATTAAATGGCTTGTGTATTTAACAGTTTTATTTTTGTTTATTCAATCTTTTTTCAGTTTATTCAATCTTTTTTCAGTTTATTCAATCTTTTTTCAGTTTATTCAATCTTATTTTCAGTTTATTCAATCTTTTTTCAGTTTATTCAATCTATTTTCAGTTTATTCAATCTTTTTTCAGTTTATTCAATCTATTTTCAGTTTATTCAATCTTTTTTTCAGTTTATTCAATCTTTTTTCAGTTTATTCAATCTTTTTTCAGTTTATTCAATCTTTTTTCAGTTTATTCAATCTTATTTTCAGTTTATTCAATCTTTTTTCAGTTGAGGAAAGGGTTTCTTTACTGTAAGAAAAAAGTATCTGCTTGCTGTATGTTGAGTTTTGTGCTTTTCCAGATTGTTTAGTTTTTAATTGTTAACTATACTGATTGATGGAAATTGGCAAACTGATAACTAGGCAGTGAGAAATGATTGATTTTTAAGAAGAACTATGAGAAAACCATGCATATTTAAACAATTATAATGATGTCTTGAAACATATTAACTTGGAAAGTGAGCTGGCTATCTGCATCAGAAGCCATATTTTTGTGGATACATCTACTTCTTCTTTTTCTTCAGCATGCTAAGTCTTGTGGTTCATTGCTACACATATCGCCCACCTTCATTTATCTTTATGATTAGTCTTTTTTCCAGATGTTGACCCCAAGTGTTTACAGATCTGCCTGTATATTATAACTCTACCATCTTCTTGGTCTACCTTGTGGTCTGCGACTGTTCAAATCTCTTGTGTATACAGTGTTTACCTGTCTGTCATCTAACATTCTCTCGGTATGCCCCAGCCATTTTAGTCTATAACCCCTCCTGAAACCAGTGATCAGTGGTGATTTAAACATTTTGTTGTTGCTTCTCACTCTGTTTGGACACATCATGAGAATGAAAAAAAACAGGAATATGCCCGAACACAAAAGTTGGAGGGAAGGATACATAGGGAAACAAGCAGATGTTTAACACTGTAGCACCATGGCATAGAGGGACCTTTGTATAAAATGTGATTGGAAGTTCATGGGAAAGAAGGCTGTGAACAAACATGCTGACTAATGACACACTATCCTTTTACTTTATAAGGTCTTCCAGGGACCCCTTCATTTTTAAATAAATGTTAAAGTTAAAGTTTAGGTTAATGTTGGGTGGATTGACTTATTGCACCAGGTTTTCTCCCATATTCCTCAGTCTCTGCCTGCAGAACAGTTAGCCACCTGCCGAGAATGTTGCACAAAACATGAACACTGTTTTACCAAATCTCTAATTAGTTGCCTTTTGTGACACGTTTGTTGGGGAAGGTGGGTCTGTTCTTTTGTACCCCCTCAAATTTGTCCGGAACCCACACAGGAAATAAACAGATTTAAGTACCTCTAAATACCTGGGGTAAAAAAACTAAACAACTTCTTGAAGCATGAAGTAAGACAGCATCCTGAAATAAAAACAAGGAAAAGACTAACCGATCAACCAGTTTATCCACTCTAGACTGCTAACTAAAGGTTTACCATACCATCCTGAGATTTCAAAGTCTCAGTCCGGATGGCAGACCAACAAGGCAGATCCCAGATACCCTGTTCAACCTCCAGAGAAGTTATATAATTAGGGCACTCCTAGTGGCTACGGCGTAGCCACGCCAGCAGGTAACCAACATGCAGTCCTATGCTGGTCAGGATAATTGAAAAGACAAATCAGCACTGATGCTGTAATCTCTCTTTGTAAAATAGTATGTCACTGAATACATGTTTTTTTTTTCTATGTCAGGACTACAATGGACATAAATATCAACAAATCCAGTTCAATATTCCAACATTCTGTGAAGTGTGCACATCTCTTATATGGATAATGGACAAGGTGTTAGTTTGTCAAGGTAATTTCCTAGACTTATTTATATTTAACATATGTTTGAGACATCCTACAGAAACACTTATTACTTTCAGCATTAGCTGTTAATGAAAGAAAGTGTTAAAGATGTAATTAACTGGGACTAAAGAGTTAAGATTTGAGTGTGGCTAATCTCCAAATGGGTTCCAGGACCCTATTATAGGGAAAACAAGAATAGACCCACTGCCTACCCAGAAGCATGTCGTTAGAGTCGACTAATTGGAGATGGGATTTCTTCTTCTTCTTCTTCTTCGCGTTCACCAGCTGTACACTCTGGCGTAAAGTTCTGGTTGTTCGTCCACTTCTGGACTACAGTTCTGCTCCAGAACCTGAGTGTTGCGTGTGCATCAGTTTTACAGATCTGATTCAATTGAATGCAGACTGCTGGTTCCTTGCCTCTCAGGCAGATGCACTCCGACTTCAAAGGAAGCTCCCCAGTTAGTCGACTCTTACGACATGCTTTTGGGGAGGCAGTGGGTCTATTCTTGTTTTCCCTACAATAGGGCCCCGGAACCCACACGGGGGGGATTTCTTCTAAGTGGGAGTACATCTGCCTGAAAGGCAAGAAACCAGCAGTCTGCATACAAGTTAGTCGGGTCTGTAAAATGGATGCACACGCAACACTCAGGTTCTGGAACAGGACTGCAGTCCAGAAGTTGACAAAAAAGCAGAACTTTCTGCCAGAGTTTACATACGGTGAACAAGAAGAGGAAGAAGAAATGTGGCTAAAAGGTTAGTTAATGCGTTTAACAGTTTCATGATCCTTGAGTACCACGGTTCAGTTTCTGAGATGGATGGTTTGTTTTGGTAAAAACCCTATTCTCCTGATTTTTGAAACAGTAAAACAAGAGTTGCACCATGGAAGAGATGGGACCTCACTATTTAGTGTTTCTGAAAGAAAAGTGACATCGTAGTAGGTGCTCTGTAGCCAGCCTTTATTATGAATTTGACACATAATTATTTTATTAGGATCTGACCTCTCAGCACTCAGAACAGACTCATAAGGGCTCCATTTACGTAGCAGTTGTCACCGGTTGTCTTCTTCTTCTTTTACTTCTTCACGTTCACCAGCTATAAACTTCAACAGAAAATTCTGGACATTGGTCCTGTTCCAGAACTTGAGTTTTGATTACTAAATGATTTTACAGATCTGACTAACTTGTTTGCAGATTGCTGGTTCCTCGCCTCTCAGGCAGATGTACTTTGACTTCAAAGGAAACATTCATAATTAGTACACATTAGGACATGCTTGTTGGGGGTTGGTGGGGGGGGGGGGGGGGGGGGGGGGGGGGGGTGTCTGGTCTCCCCCTCCCCACTCTTTTTTTCTCCTATTGGGGTCCCAGAACTCACATGGGCATGACATGATGTGAAAACTGATGTTTCCATGACACTTTGACTAGTACTCATTTTATGAGTTTTATATATTGATAGAAGGTTAACCCAACCAGTACTCGTGCTGTGACCCTTGAACTGCTTTAATGTTAAGGGTTTTGTGTGTGTGTGTTATAGCAGATATGGCCACCTGGGTGTGAGATGCTAACCAGATAAAGCCACGGTTGGAGTGCTTATGGGAATTTCCTGAATGCTGCAATGTCAGTTCTTTATTCAACTTGGCTGAAGCTAAAGCACAATCCACAGCTTTTCCTTAAAAAAAATTTCAGATTAGCTAGGATAAATTCCAGGCCCTGCCACAATAAAAGTCTATATGTTTCGTGTTCTCAGATTGTAAGTTGGCCTGCCATAAGAAGTGCTACAGCAAGCAGATCTCACCTTGTAAAGGAATATCAGAATCCAGGGTTAGTGTTGGTCATAATGTATGCTTGGTTCAATGTCATCATCATTGTCTTTACTACCATGTGTCTTACCAGTTGCTGTTGACTGACTTCTTCTTCTTCTTCATGTTCACCGGCTGAAAACTGTTTCTGAAAATTCTAATTGTTCATCCACCTGTGGACTTAAGTCTTGTTCCACAGCCTGAGTTTTGCATGCACATCCATTTTACAGATTTGGCTTATTTGTATACAGGCTCTTGGTCCCTTGCCTCTCATGCTTGTTGGGGTCACAGTGGTTCTGTTCTTGTTGTTTTCCCCACAATTGGGCTGCTGAAACCATGCAGGAATGTTGACTAACTGATAACTGTGGGGGAGGGGGGGGGGGGGGGGGGGGGGTTGACAGAATTAATGTTAAGCTGATTTTTTTTTTTAAAGCTGCAACCTGACAAAGCTAAAACCTACCTGAAAAAATAAATTATTTGCTGTATTGTGACATATAATATATTAAACTAAAGAGAAATGAATACAGAATACATCTAAAGTATTGAAGGATCAATATTACAGCAGAAGAATATTAAAATGATGCTACATTCAAGATGTTAGACACATGCAGAGATTTTTGACACGTGAAATTTTGTACTTATCTTACTTATTTACTTGATTGGCAACACTGTTATCCATTTCTAAGAATTCTCTGTTTGTTTATTCATCAGCTAGTACTCAGACTTTTATTTATCCAACAATAATGTTCCGACAAATACTTCATTTTGCTAATTCTAGTTTTTTCAAAACAAGTTCATAAAATGTATTTTCTTAGCAAATCAAACAATAATAGAATGTCTGTATTGGCAACCACTGTATTGGTGATTGGTCTGATTCTGTTGCCCACTAATCACGGATATACACTTATATTTTATATAGACCAGTCAGCCCTCAGTGGTTGATGTAGTCAACATCACGCCAGCCACCTTTACTTTGCAGAACTGTAGCTTTAAGGCTGGGTTGACCTGGGAACTAAGGTCATATTTTAAAGGGAAAAAAAAACATCTGGCTCTATCGGGACCCAAGCCCACGACCTTCAGATCCACAGATGAGAGGATACAGCACAGCCCTCCACCCATAGCACAAAACCTGGGCAGCATTTAGAAACTGTATGTAGCCACTGCAGCATAATTCCACATTGTAATTTCAATTTATTTTTTTTATTCTTCTTTTATTTCCCGTTGTACCATAGGGTCAGAGCAGCAACCAACTATTTGGAGCTGAACTAGACTGCCTGGTCAGTGACAGACAGAGAGTGCCATTAGTGTGTGAGCGGCTGATGTCAACCTTGGAGAATACAGGAATTTATGTTGAGGGAATTTATCGCAAGCCGGGGTCAGCACCAAAAATTAAGGAACTCAAGGCAGCATTAGAAGCAGGTAGCATGAGCTGTGTAAACTTTGTAATAAAATGTATCATCTTCAAGTTAATTTATTTAATTACAGTTATTATTATTGTATATTTCTGGGCCCACTCAAGCTTCTGTTTCTGTGCATCGCCAGCAGAGTTCTATCAAGCTGTACTGGTGCACATGCGTTCAGCTTTAAGAGCACATATTTTTGATGGAGTATTTAAGCAGGTGATGGTTAGTTGCGAATCCTTCTCTGAAAGAATGAAGAGTACACCACATAAACACAGATTTTAAGCAGTCTAGGCAACACATTTGGCTCAAGATAATTTATATAGATCCAATAAAGAGTACACCACATAAACACAGATTTTAAGCAGTCTAGGCAACACATTTGGCTCAAGATAATTTATATAGATCCAATAAAGAGTACACCACATAAACACAGATTTTAAGCAGTCTAGGCAACACATTTGGCTCAAGATAATTTATATAGATCCAATAAAGAGTACACCACATAAACACAGATTTTAAGCAGTCTAGGCAACACATTTGGCTCAAGATAATTTATATAGATCCAATAAAGAGTACACCACATAAACACAGATTTTAAGCAGTCTAGGCAACACATTTGGCTCAAGATAATTTATATAGATCCAATAAAGAGTACACCACATAAACACAGATTTTAAGCAGTCTAGGCAACACATTTGGCTCAAGATAATTTATATAGATCCAATAAAGAGTACACCACATAAACACAGATTTTAAGCAGTCTAGGCAACACATTTGGCTCAAGATAATTTATATAGATCCAATAAAGAGTACACCACATAAACACAGATTTTAAGCAGTCTAGGCAACACATTTGGCTCAAGATAATTTATATAGATCCAATAAAGAGTACACCACATAAACACAGATTTTAAGCAGTCTAGGCAACACATTTGGCTCAAGATAATTTATATAGATCCAATAAAGAGTACACCACATAAACACAGATTTTAAGCAGTCTAGGCAACACATTTGGCTCAAGATAATTTATATAGATCCAATAAAGAGTATACAAGTGAGATAAATAAAGGAATTAAGTTAAACCCCATTAGGATTGCACAACAAGCAATGAACACCCGGTGGCACCCGGACGCAAGTCCTAGAAACCCTGTTTAACCATGAGGTTATATAAGGGCCCTTGACAACAGCCAGCATGGGGCTTTGAGATCATGGAAAATTGTGTTCCATATTGGGATGGCAACTTTTCTGTACTATACCACATGAAAGCAAACACTTGGCAGTCCATCACTTACACTTGTACAGTCATTGATGCTTTATTATGGTGCATATTTGAATTTATTCTATATTGTTTAATTAATTAAGGAGCTGCATGTCAGTTATATCTTTTTGTCTTATACCATGCACTGTGCCTGATTGGGTATTATTCTCATGTACCAGTCATCATCTTATTATCTTCTTTTTCTTCTTCATGTTCACCAGCTGTAAACTCTGGTGGAAAGTTCTGGTTGTTCATCCACTTCTGGACTACAGTCCTGTTCCAGAACCTGAGTGTTGCGTGTGCATCTGTTTTACAGATCTGACTCATCTGTATGCAGACTGCTGATTCCTTGCCTCTCACGCAGTTGCACTCTGACTTTGAAGAAAGCTTTCAATTAGTCGACTCTTACGACATGCTTTTGGGTAGGCAGTGGGTCTATTCATGTTTTCCTAATGATAGGGCCACGGAGCAAACACAGGGAATCATGTTATTATGTTTTTATATCTTTTGTTTAGTGAGCAGCTCTGAAGAACTCTAGAAACATATCTGTTTCCTGCAAGTGTTGTGTATTTGATCCTTCTGAAAGAAGTATAGCCATGAGTTGAGTATTGCTATTCTTAACTCCCTGAAACACTAGCTAGGACAATATGGTGCTGATGGAGTTAAGCTGGATTGTAGTTCAGTATCCATGTTCCATCTCATGTTTAATTTGTCTGTTTTGTGTTCTACTTTCCTCAGATGTTGAAGCTGTTGTACTGGAAAACTACCATGTCCATGTTCTTGCTTCTGTGCTGAAGCTTTTCTTGAGAAACTTGCCAGAGCCACTGCTGACCTTTGATCTGTATGATGATTTTTTACGCACGACAGGTAAGTGAATTGTGATTAATCACAGAAGAATTGTTACTCATGGTAGTGTAGACTTTACACCCAGAAGTCTTGGGCTCAGATCCACATGAAGTCAGGGCTTGAGTTTTCCTGCATACCTGTTTTACAAATCTGGGTTATTCATATGCAGACTGTTGGTTACTTGCTTCTCAGCACGCTCTGACTTCACAGGAAACGTCATTTCTGTCTGCGTTGGAAAGGCTCCCTCTTGGGAAGCAGTTTTTGTTACAACATTGGAGGAGAATTGTAGATAGTTTAACAGTGGGTTGTCACTAATTGTGTGTAAGGACAGTGGCTTAGGATAAACATGTGTATTTGGTTAGACAGTAACCTTCCTCACTCACTTCCAGACAAATCTAAGAATTTATCAACACATAGTTGAGTAAGACCTCGACCTACTTACTGGTTTCTTGTTTCCCATAAAGCCTTTTCTTTGTAGTTATAGAATATTCCACAGAAACTTTATACGAGTTAAATTGTAGTAAACTGTGTTGTAGAATCACTGGTGCAGTTTAAAACACTCAGAAATCTTATTATAAATACCTTACCTGATTATGCAGTTTTTTTTTGGGGGGGGGGGGGGATGCAGGTAGGAACCCTCGAGCAACTCTCAAAGAGTAGAAGTAAACTTTTAGATAAGAATTATATGCAAAGGTTAACCTCGTCTTTTTTTGTGGGTGGGATGTTTCAGATTTGAAAAAGTTTTATGTGAAAATAAATGATAATGATAACAAAAGAAAGCATCATATTATTTGTATTTGTACTGAGATCAAATGCGAACTGCTGTATGATGGCCATGATTATTGAAGTTGAGCTGAGTTGGGTTGAGTCTAAAAATTGACATCACAGCACTTGGGGCATTCCCATACTTGCTCCGTCCCCATCCTCAGCACTCAGCTCAGAGTTCTAGTACTGATGGTGCCAGTCATAGTCTGGTTGTGTGTCTGTCTTGACTTTCCTTTGAGCATAGTGTGCCAGCTGAATACTCTGGTCACACCCAGTTGCTTCATTCTCTCCAGCCCATAATAATATAGTTTCTCTTCTGACTTCTACTTTTTCCCCAAAGGGCTCTTTATATTATATTATATTATATATTTATGATTACAGAAGAAGAAGGCATACTGTTTATTACCATGTTGGAGGATTCAGTTGTAGTGAGAGTGATTATAGAAGAAAAAGAGGATTCATCCTATTAATATCATATTTTTATGTGTATAAGATGATATTTTTCTCAGCAATGTATATTTTTAAATTGTGGTCATCTTATAGATGGAATGTGATTAAAATATTTATTTATTAATTTTGAGTAAAAAAAAAAAAAAATAGCAGTCATCTTATACAAGAGGGCATCTTATACAAGAGGGCATCTTATACAAGAGGGCATCTTATACAAGAGGGCATCTTATACAAGAGAGCATCTTATACAAGAGGGCATCTTATACAAGAGGGCATCTTATACAAGAGGGCATCTTATACAAGAGGGCATCTTTTACAAGAGGGCATCTTATACAAGAGAGCATCTTATACAAGAGGGCATCTTATACAAGAGGGCATCTTATACAAGAGGGCATCTTATACACGATAAAATAATGTAATTAATCTTCACCTCGTGACAGTGTGAAAGTAGAGAACAGAGAAGAAAATAATCAGGCTGCTACAGTAGGTCATCACCAGTATGAGCTCTTGTCCTGGTGAACCACTGTGTGGGGTTCAACACCTCTGCATGATGGATGTATTCTGAGAACTAAGTAGAACCAAGTAACTGACCACCTCACCCATCTAGTGACAGTTACCATTCTATTTTTAAAACAAAAACTAGTTAAAAAAAGCTCAACCTGTTTTCGGCCAACAGTCTCTGGTTATATGTGTGGTCTGGTTTATTTGCGTCCCTTTCATGGATGAGATTCTGATTTGGGCGCCAGCTCTCTGGCTTAGTGTTCATTTCCTTAAAAACAGAGCGCTCCTTCCTATTATGGTAGGAGATTAAATTGTTCAACTGTTATTGCTCGAGAATTATGGAGGAGCCACTACCAACACAGGCAAGGGAAGATTTAATGCAGTGGTTCTCAACCTCCCTAATGCCACGACTCTTTAGTACAGATCTTCATGTTGTGCTGACCCCCAGCCATATAATTATTTTCATTGCTTACTTCATAACTTCAGTAAATATTTGTTTTTTGTTGATTTTAGGCAACCCCTGTTAAAGGGTCATTTAACCCCCAAAGGGGTCACGACCCACAGGCTGGGAACTGCTGATCTAATATGTAAGAAAGAGGTTGCCATAGGAGAAGATGATTTGATAACATTGAAAACCTTCTACATTGACACAGAATGACAATAGCCATTGCTATTCATTAAGCAGTGGATCACAAACTGTTTGTCCCTATGCTGCTTAACAGCAAAAGTGGAAACTGATGATGATGATGATGAATGACTCACTTAACTATTATAATTTATGGTATACTTATGTTTTTTCTGTGCATTTCTCCCAATAGAAATACAAGATGAGAAAGAACTAATCAAGTCCTTGTTTGAGGTGCTGAAAAAATTGCCAAGAGCTAACTTTGATTTGTTTGAGAGACTGTGCTTCCACTTGGCTTGGTGAGAATTGGGTTTTTGTTTGGTTTTATTTGTGTTCAAATGATAGAAACAATGAAACTAGAAATATGAACAATTGTAGTCGGTCTGTTATCTGTTCTCATATTAGCAGTGACTGTTAAAGTAATATTTGTTTTATCAATTTTTTTTGGGGGTGCTCATTTGTTATATTTGCCATTGTGTTACTGGGTGTCAGGGTCTTATGTGGCTATGGGTATGTGTGTTTTTGGGTGCGTGTGTGGTGTGGTGTGGTGTGGGTGGGTGTGTGTGAGAGAAAGAGTGAGATGATATGATAGTGACTAGTTGATAAATACTGGGTGACCGAGAGTTCACGTGACAGATGCTTTTCAGTGGAAAGTGAGATGACAGTGACTAGTTGATAAATACTGGGTGACCGAGAGTTCACCTGTCAGATGCTTTTCAGTGGAAAGTGAGATGACAGTGACTAGTTGATAAATACTGGGTGACCGAGAGTTCACGTATCAGATGCTTTTCAGTGGAAAGTGAGATGACAGTGACTAGTTGATAAATACTGGGTGACCGAGAGTTCACGTATCAGATGCTTTTCAGTGGAAAGTGAGATGACAGTGACTAGTTGATAAATACTGGGTGACCGAGAGTTCACGTATCAGATGCTTTTCAGTGGAAAGTGAGATGACAGTGACTAGTTGATAAATACTGGGTGACCGAGAGTTCACCTGTCAGATGCTTTTCAGTGGAAAGTGAGATGACAGTGACTAGTTGATAAATACTGGGTGACCGAGAGTTCACCTGTCAGATGCTTTTCAGTGGAAAGTGAGATGACAGTGACTAGTTGATAAATACTGGGTGACCGAGAGTTCACGTGTCAGATGCTTTTCAGTGGAAAGTGAGATGACAGTGACTAGTTGATAAATACTGGGTGACCGAGAGTTCACCTGTCAGATGCTTTTCAGTGGAAAGTGAGATGACAGTGACTAGTTGATAAATACTGGGTGACCGAGAGTTCACCTGTCAGATGCTTTTCAGTGGAAAGTGAGATGATCTGAGTAGTAGCTGTATGATTATACTGGCGGTTGCTACACATGGGATGTCTGCTGAGGCGGGACAAAACTGGTTTGCTCAGCGGGACAAGGATAGTTGACTGGACAACTTGGACTGAGACACAGTGTAGCATTTTACCACTGACAGATTTGTGTTACAGGGCTAGCTTTCAGTGGCTTAGTTAAAGTCAGCATCATGTAGCAGGTCCTTTGCAGAATGTAGCTCTCATCACGGTCTGCCTGAAAGAAACTCAGTCTCTTGCTAGCTCTCCCACCTCACATACTTTCATATTCAACGATTCACTTATATTCTGTGCCCATGGCCTCATGTTGGTCGGCCCCTACCCCTCCTTCCTGGTACCATGCCTTCTAGTATTATTTTGTCAAATCTACTATGGTGCTTGATGAAATATTTCTGCTTTTGAGACAATATGCTGTTTACAAGCCAATCTTCAGATGCTTAGATCCTTTTCAATGTCAGTATTTCATTTCTTCTTTGTCCATGGTATTTTGAGAAACTTTCTGTAGCAGTTCAGCTCAAAAGTCCCAGTTTTTGTCTATACTCTTTTTCCATAACTTTCTTGGTCTTCCTCTTGCCTTCCTGCCAGATGTTCTGCTGTAAAAAGTCGTATGTGCATTTCGGTCTGGCTGCATTCTCAATAGATGGCTGAGCTGTTTCATTCTTTATCTGTTAATATAATCCAGACATGGTCTTATTTTGATTTTCTCTCTAATGCTGGTTTTCATAACCCTGTCTCTTCTAGTGTTGTTAGTGACTTTGCAGAGACTGCACATTTCACATGTACTTATTTTCTGTTTACTATTCATTGTCCATCTTTGGCACTGATAAAATAATGTGGGTATAACGTTGTTATTGATCATTTGCTATTTTGCTGGAAAGGAGACATTTGGGTGTCTAAGCATTGGGGCTAACTGGTAGGTGACAGCATTTGCCTTCTATACTCTAAATTCTATCACCTATTGAATCTGCCATCCTCTGTAAATATGCTACCTACATATTTGAATTCTCATACTTGTTTGATTGTAGTACAGTTAACATGAACGTTCATGATGTTATGTTTCCTGCCAGTCCCCATTACCTCAGTTTTTTCTGTGTTTATTCTTATATCATACTTTGTGCAGGTTTGATGTAAGGAGTCAATATGGAGTTGTAAATTTTGTTCTTAGTGGTGTATTCAACACTGATTGTCTGCAAAAAAATTTCAGTGACTGTATTTGCCTCCTTTGACAGTTGATTCTTTGAATGTGTTGGTTAACCTAGCTAGCAATTATGTGATATCATTATTATAATTATGGCTTTACTATGTCTTGGTTTTATTTGCTACAGATTGAAAGATAGATTATTTACCATAGTAGTGTTGTTAGCTTTTTATATTATAAACATGCGTAGCCGATTGTTTCATAGATGGCATTCTTGTTCATAAATCCTCAACATGCTTAACCAAGGAGGTATACAGAAAGGGGGCGAGTGTTGTTGGTCCAGCGCCATTACAGTTAATTAATTGCCCTGCTCTATCTAAGCACACTGGTATTGCCATGCAGGAGTGCACCAGCTGGGGTACAGGGTCTTGTCAGTGGTTTGCATGCAAACTCTAATGATGCTGGGGCACACAGGGAGAACAAAGTATGGTTGGCACCTTTCTGTTGTCCAGACGATACTGTCCCAGTGTGCTAAAGGGAGGCATTGGACTGACAGCCCATGGTGATAGCCAGTGTGATGGTGATAGCCAGTGTGATGGTGATAGCCAGTGTGATGGTGATAGCCAGTGTGATGGTGATAGCCAGTGTGATGGTGATAGCCAGTGTGACTAGCAAGACCTGCTCGCACTAAGAAGAATCTTTCACAATAAATGCGAGGTTTGCTGAAAGTGGATGTGTTGATTTGTTATCAAATATCACAGCCTAGCTGTAAACGCTGTGTGCTATCTGCCCTTTTGGTGGCAAATAAAGAAGAAGAAGAAACACCTCACTAATTGTGGGAATGAATAATCTGACAAATTCTGATTTATACAGCTGTTTAGGGACATGTCATGTTCACAGCACAGACACACAATCTGTTTATTGGCCTGTGTCTGAAAATATTAAACATTTGATTCACTATCCCAGGATCTAAGGGGAGAGTAACACCAAGGTTTCTTCTTTTAGTGTCTGCAACAATTCAGTGTGCTTGATGATTACAGACTCAAGTAATTACAGTTGTAAACTCTCAGTTTTAAATAGCAGTGTCTGTGAGTTTCTTCTTCTTCTTCTTCTGCCTTTTGTCTGCCAGTGGAGTATAACCCTTAACCAACTCGCACCAAGTTGTCCTATCCTTTGCCATTGCATGCAGGTAACCCCATACCCTCCTTGTAATTTTAACTTCACTCTGTAACTGCCATCTCAATGTTTTTTTTTTTTTAGTCTGTCTATATTTCTGTGCCCTTGTGGGTTTCAGTGCAAAGACATTCTAGTTATAATGTTTTCAGGCATTCTCAGCGCATGTCCTGTCCCATGCCAGCATCTTCTTCACCGCTTGATCCACTGGAACTTGTTTAGATCTCACCCAAAGCTCTACATTAGTGATTCCATCACACCACTTAATTTTCTCTACTCTGCGCAGGCACCAGTGAATGAATGTTTGTAGCTTATTAGTAATTGTTTTAGTTATTCACCATGTTTCAACGCCATATAGCAGTAGTCATTTGGTGCTAGAATAAACAATTTTAAGTTGAGTGTCAGTTTTAATTTCTTTTGATCTTCACAAATTTGTCTAAGAGTTAAACAATACATTATTTGCTTATTATATCCTCATACCAGTGTGGCCATGCACAGTGACAGCAACAAGATGTCCACCAATGCTCTGTCTGTCATATTTGCCCCCGTGGTGTTGGGGACAAACAAGAAACTCCAAGCCCAAGATGCAATTGCATTGATGCCACAACAAATGATGTATGCTTAGTTTTCTCTGTGTGTCTCTGTTTCTATTCTCTGTTTATTATATATTTAAGTAGTTTTAGGCTAAACAGTTCTCACTGTTGGAGTTTTCAATGCAGATCAAATAGTGGCATGACCAGATTCAATAAACAAAAGTGTGAAGGAAATATTTAATAGTTGTTATCCACCCTGATGAAGTGATGAAACCATTTGTTTAACCATTCTATTTACTGCATAACATCTGTCTGTGTTTGTCTTCAATGTGCTTCATCATAGTCTCATGAATGAAGATTTTTTTTTTTTATCTGAGCGTCTGTGTATTCTTTATCTTATTGGCTGTGATTGTAAGAAATTAATCCAATGAACTGTGACTAAGAAAGCTTAAAAAAATGGGGAAGCAGAACAGCTGCACAAAACACACAAATCTCATTTCGGCTGAGGCCTTTCGTGACATGGACTGGTGTCTACAGGTTACTAGAAGTCCCAAGAGGGTAATCGGAGACCTATCCAGAGAGCTGGGATCAGCATTTGAGTTTACGACCATTGTTGCGATTACATTTATTTAACCTGTTCTCGGATGCTTAGCTCTTAACCTTTTCAGCCCGAGAAGCCAAAAAACTAACACTTCCGTTTGGATCCCATTCCCTGTAAATGTCACTTTTCTGACTTGTCTATAGTGACCTCTTTACAGGATGCATAGTTGATGCTATTGGCTGCTTTCACACCTGCACAAATGTTTAGGAGGTCAGGATATGAATACAATAACTATTAATAGCATTTAGGGAGGTTTTAATTTGAGCTAAATGTTGTTTTAAGCCAAGTTGACATCAGAGTTTGCTGTATGCTCCCATGATAAAGGTCTTGGGGTCACAGCCTGAGTGACCAGATACGTGTATTGTTTTGTTTAGGCTCTGGGGGATGTTTTTAATTTATTGCTTCACCCTGTTCATATTTATTGATTACTGCTTTCATGTATTTTTTTTATAAATTTAGTGCATAGATAAATACATCTTTTTTTTACAAATCTATTAGTGACCTATGTAAAATTTGTGTTACTTTAGGTGTTTTTTGGAATTCTGAAATTCTAACAGGGTCGTGACCTTTTTTTTTTTAAACTATTAAATTCCTTTTGGTTTTATTTTGTTCCCAGGACAAAAGGGCTAACTTATCGGTCATTATTGTCTCCTTTATCCCCATCTCATACTGTTCCTACATATCCACTTCATTACCGTATCGTACATGTCCCGCCTGTGCACACCTTTATATCACAGTAGCCATCCACAACATCTAGTGAAATACCAGACAACATCTAATGAAATACCAGACAACAGCTAGTAAAATACCAGACAACATCTAATGAAATACCAGACAACATCTAATGAAATACCAGACAACAACTAGTGAAATACCAGACAACATCTAATGAAATACCAGACAACATCTAATGAAATACCAGACAACATCTAGTCAGATACCAGTCAACATCTAATGAAATACCAGACAACATCTAATGAAATACCAGACAACATCTAGTCAGATACCAGACAACATCTAATGAAATACCAGACAACATCTAGTCAGATACCAGACAACATCTAATGAAATACCAGACAACATCTAATGAAATACCAGACAACATCTAATGAAATACCAGACAACATCTAGTGAAATACCAGACAACATCTAGTGAAATACCAGACAACATCTAGTGAAATACCAGACAACATCTAGTGAAATACCAGACAACATCTAGTGAAATACCAGACAACATCTAGTGAAATACCAGACAACATCTAGTGAAATACCAGACAACATCTAGTGAAATACCAGACCCAACATCTAGTCAGATAACAGACCCAACATCTAGTCAGATAACAGACCCAACATCTAGTCAGATAACAGACCCAACATCTAGTCAGATAACAGATCCAACATCTAGTCAGATAACAGACCCAACATCTAGTCAGATAACAGACCCAACATCTAGTCAGATACCTGACAACATTTAGTGAGATACCAGACATCTAGTCAGATAACAGACCCAACATCTAGTCGGATAACAGACCCAACATCTAGTCAGATACCAGACCCAACATCTAGTCAGATAACAGACCCAACATCTAGTCAGATAACAGACCCAACATCTAGTCAGATAATAGACCCAACATCTAGTCAGATATCAGACCCAACATCTAGTCAGATACCAGACAACATTTAGTGAAAAACCAGACATCTAGTCAGATAAAGGACCCAACATCTAGTCAGATACCAGACAACATTTAGTGAAAAACCAGACATCTGGTCAGATAAAGGACCCAACATCTAGTCAGATACCAGACCCAACATCTAGTCAGATAAAAGACTTAGTGTCTAGTCAGATACCAGACAACATCTAGTGAAATACCAGACAACATCTAGTGAAATACCAGACAACATCTAGTCAGATACCAGACAACATCTAGTGAAATACCAGACAACATCCAACATCTAATCTGATAATAGACCCAACATCTTGTCAGATAACAGACCCAACATCTAGTCAGATAACAGATCCAACATCTAGTCAGATAACAGACCCAACATCTAATCTGATAATAGACCCAACATCTTGTCAGATAACAGACCCAACATCTAGTCAGATACCAGACAACATTTAGTGAGATACCAGACATCTAGTCAGATAACAGACCCAACATCTAGTCAGATAACAGATCCAACATCTAGTCAGATAACAGACCCAACATCTAGTCAGATAACAGACCCAACATCTAGTCAGATAACAGACCCAACATCTAGTCAGATAACAGACCCAACATCTAGTCAGATAACAGACCCAACATCTAGTCAGATAACAGACCCAACATCTAGTCAGATAAAAAACTAAGTGTCTAGTCAGATACCAGACCCAACATCTAGTCAGATAAAAGACTTAGTGTCTAGTCAGATACCAGACAACATCTAGTGAAATACCAGACAACATCTAGTGAAATACCAGACAACATCTAGTGAAATACCAGACAACATCTAGTCAGATACCAGACAACATCTAGTCAGATACCAGACAACATCTAGTGAAATACCAGACAACATCTAGTCAGATACCAGACAACATCTAGTCAGATACCAGACCCAACATCTAGTCAGATAACAGACCCAACATCTAGTCAGATAACAGACCCAACATCTAGTCAGATAACAGACCCAACATCTAGTCAGATAACAGATCCAACATCTAGTCAGATAACAGACCCAACATCTAGTCAGATAATAGACCCAACATCTTGTCAGATAACAGACCCAACATCTAGTCAGATACCAGACAACATTTAGTGACATACCAGACATCTAGTCATATAACAGACCCAACATCTAGTCAGATAACAGACCCAACATCTAGTCAGATAACAGACCCAACATCTAGTCAGATAACAGACCCAACATCTAGTCAGATAACAGACCCAACATCTAGTCAGATAAAGGACCCAACATCTAGTCAGATAAAAAACTAAGTGTCTAGTCAGATACCAGACCCAACAACTAGTCAGATAAAAGACTTAGTGTCTAGTCAGATACCAGACAACATCTAATGAAATACCAGACAACATCTAGTCAGATACCAGACAACATTTAGTGAAAAATCAGACATCTACTCAGATAAAGGACCCAACATCTAGATAAAAGACTTAGTGTCTAGTCAGATACCAGACTCAACATTTAGTAAAATACCTACACTTTACTGGGGTATTTTTTAGACTACAGGGTTACTGAGATAACTTACACAAAACTTAACTCTGTACATTCATTACAGCAGTTAACAGCCATACCAAGGAGACGTCTTCATATGGTCCATGCTGTGTGGGCTTGGTAGTCATGTCTGTCCACACCTTCTGTCATGTTTACTGTCAGTCAATTCTGACTCAGATGATCTTCCATGCCTTGGTGTCCAACTGTCCAGTAACTTTCTCTATCTTGGTCTCCCTCTGCCTCTTTTTTCTCCTTCTCATAACATAACTAAATAATGTAAATCGTCTCCTAGACATACAAACACAAACATCTAAAGTATGCTTTGCTAGGCCATTATATGTTTTACTTGTTCATTGTGTCTTTTTCTGCCTTCACAATCTCTCTCCAGGTGCATTGAGTTAATTCTCAAGGAGCATATCAACACGATCAAGTCCAAACTTAAAGATATTGACATTTTGGAAAATGCAGAGAAAACAACTGGAGAAAGGCTCAGAACAGTTCGTGCTAGTCTTCGCAGTGTGAGAGTAAGTCATTTAAAAGTATAAATTAGAAAACAATATAAATCTTCTCACAGTGTCTAGGAAGTAAATGCGGAATTCCCTTCTTTTTAGTTTCATTCTCTAGATTTTTTTCTACATATTTGTACAGAAATGAGTCTTTCATTTTTCTGTCATTTATCATCTATGGCTATATAGCGAAAAATAATTACTTTTTAAGACAGTAGATTACTTTCTTCGCTGTCATTTATGTAAGTTGTTTGTTTTTTCCAGTTCCAGAAGTCTTCTGTTAAATCTCTGACTTCATCAGTAACCAGCAGGTGTTACTTTAACTCTTTAACTCATTCTGTTCTAAAAAAATTTTTACTTTCAGTTGTTTTCTTCTTCTTCTTTTGTCAGTTTCAAATAGATTATCTGTATGCAATGTTGTCTCTTGTATGAACTTCACTGTCTTTTGTAATTCTCTCAAGTTTGGCTTCCACCAGTGTTTCTCTTGGCCAGAAGTTTTGCCTTGATATTTTGTGTTTGGGACAGTCTTGGAGGACATGATCTGTTGTCTCAGGTGCCAATCCACATGTGCACATGGTTGATTCGCCAATCTTAAATTTTGTGTACATGTGGCATTGAAGTTGATTGTGCCCTGTTCTGAGGGGTAGAATAGTGACTTGCTCTGCTCTGTTTATAATTCCAAATCGAGAACTTCACTATGCAGATGACACAGTCCTCCTTTCAAACAATGTAAAGGGAATAGAGGAATATAAATTTAATCATGTC